ACGGCGTCACAAGTAACATGTACTCAAACCTAACCTAACCGATGACCTACGAATAGAAAAGGGGACAGCCCGTCAATTTTGTGAGCCGCTGTGATTCACAATACAACTTATTTTGACGTTGGGGGGATTTATACTTCAAAATACGATGCACTATTCAGGAGGACAGGTTGGGAAGGTTGCTTGGAAGAGGCTGCAGTAAGCGATCCGTTGGTCCAAGGGCAAAGGCACCAGGTTGTACTTACCTAGTTGTGCTTGTGGGAGGGGTTGAGCTTTTGCTCTTTGGTCCCGCCTCTCAACTGGTAGGACAGGTTGTGCGCCTCTTGGAATCGAACTCTTCTTGCTGAAGACATTGCCTGAGCAGCCGGTGCTGACAAAGAGTCGCTCAGCATACAACCCGTCCTCCTAATAGAACGTCGCATTTTGACGTACACTCTACCTAAGGCCAAAAACTGTCGTACTAGAAATGGTAGCGGCTCGCGAAATTGACGTACGGGGCAAAATTTAAAAAATTTAAATTTGTCTCGTTTTCTGTTTTGGGTCCTCTGGTAGGTTAGGATAAGGCCCACTTTAGTAGGTCACTTTCTAGACGTTGGGAAATCTTAGGAGGACGGGTTGTTTAGCAGCCCTCTCTCTACAGATCGTACCACCGCTACCAACAAGGGCTACCACCACCGCTACCAACAAGGGCTACCACCACCACTACCAACAAGGGCTACCACCACCGCTACCAACAAGGGCTACCACCACCGCTACCAACAAGGGCTACCACCACCACTATCAACAAGGGCTACCACCACCGCTACCAACAAGGGCTACCACCACCACTACCAACAAGGGCTACCACCACCGCTACCAACAAGGGCTACCACCACCACTATCAACAAGGGCTACCACCACCGCTACCAACAAGGGCTACCACCACCACTATCAACAAGGGCTACCGCTACCAACAAGGGCTACCACCACCACTACCAACAAGGGCTACCACCACCGCTGCCAACAAGGGCTACCACCACCGCTACCAACAAAGGCTACCACCACCGCTGCCAACAAGGGCTACCACCACCGCTACCACCACCCCTTGTGGTGGTGGTGGTAGCTAGCCACCTCTAGCTACCAAGGTCCTAGATACATCCTTATCATTTCACCATAAAAAATGGCACTTGTTATTAATGAATGAAGTGCATCAGCTCTGAGATAATTATTGAGAAGACAATCGACACCACTTGTCAGAGGACCTAGTCGTCGTGAGCTGGCTCATCATTGTCACCAGAGTTCCAGACAAGTTCAGAGAGAACACGAACAAGATGAACAAGAGAGTTCAGAGAACACTTTTCATTTCCAGTCATCAAATGTCCATTCTACTAAAACCATTAACAATTCCTGCTCATAAAGGCACACCCGCATCGCCAATTACTAAAATACTCCAGTCCAGAAGATCCAGAAGATCTGGAATCTAACATTTTCTCCTCTGGAGACTGCAAGTTGAATTCACTTAAGAGAAAATGTGGCTATCGAGGCAGAAACAAATGGGCAAAGTTTCTTTCACCCTGAATGCCCCTGTTACCTAGCAGTAAATAGGTACCTGGGAGTTA